TATCTATCTATCTATCTATCTATCTATCTATCTATCTATCTATCTATCTATCTATCTATCTATCTATCATCTATCTATCATCTATCTATCTATCTCACACACACACATACTCGCACACACACAAACACAATCTTATCTATTTTCTCTCTCCATTCATCCATCCCTATCTTCTATCTGCTGATCTCATATCTCTATTCTCTCTCTCTCATCTATCTATCTGTCTGTCTATCTATCATCTCTCTCTCTCTCTCACACACACACACACACATTGTCTATCTATCTATTTTCTCCATCCATCCCAATATTCTGTCTGCTAATCTCTCCCATATCTCAGTGACTCGGGGGGGACACCACAACCATCATAAATACGAGTCAGTTGTCAGATGAATTTTGATCACGTGACCATGGGGATGCTGCAACGGTCGTTAACTGTGTGAAAAATGGTGCGGTCAAAAAAAAAATTCAGCGCTGTTGTTGTAACTTTGAACAGTTTTAAGTCGAGGACTGCCTGTAATCTCAAAGGTAACAACTTTGGCCACTTTAAGGCTTTCAACTCCCAGAATTCTCCCACTGGCAAAGGGGGAGGGGCAATGGGACAAAACTCACACTATCTGCTTAGCAACAGAAATTTTGGGCTCAATTTTGGTCGTAACTCGAGGACTACCTGAATTTAATTTAATTTGTTGTTTTATGTATTATTTTATGTATTATTTTATTTATTCATTTTGTTTATTTAATATTTTATTTTGTGTACTACTTCATTTTTATATATTTGATTTTATTTTTACTTTATTTTATTTTTTATTTATTTTGTTATTTCATTTTATGTTACTTTATGTTCTTTTGTTACTTTACTTTAGTTCATTTTATTATTTCTTCCTCAGCAAATCTGGATATAGAATAGATAGAATATAGAATGGAAAAGAATAGAAGATAAAATAAAATACAAAATGGAATAGAAGATATAATAGGATATAGAATGGAATAGAATATAAAATAGAGTATAAAACAGAATATAGAATATAAAATAGTATAAAACAGAATATAAAATAGAATAGAACATAGAATGGAATAGAATATAAAATAGAATGCAAAATGGAATAGAATATAAGAGTATAAAATAGAATGGAATGGAATATAGAATAGAATAGATAGAAGAGAATATAAAATAGAACAGAACAGAGAATGGAGTAAGCAGACAGCTTAAGTGAGTTTTGCCCCATTCCCCCTCCCCCTTTGCTTGCTGGGGAATTCTGGGAGATGAAGTCCCACAAGTCTCAAGGTGGCCAAGGTCTCTGCTGGTAATCCTCGACTTATAACTTGTTCACTTAGCGACCATTCCAAGTTACAATGGCCGGGGGGGGGGGAGGAGGACCATTTTTCTCACTGACGCGTGTTGCGGCTTCCCTGCAATCATATGATTTACATTCGGATGCTTGACAACCCCACATTTAAGACGGTGGGAGCAGGGTCCCCTTACTTTACACTAAAAAGTAAAATAAAATAAAATAAAAAGAAGGGAAGGGAGGAGAATATAGAAGAGAAAGAGAACTTAAAAGAGAATACATTAAAATAAAATTAAAACAGAATAGAGAATATAAAATAGAATACAGAATGTAATAAGAATATAAAAAGGACTATAAAACAGAATAGAATAGAATATAGAGTGGAATAGAATATAAAAGAATAGAATACAATGAGAATAGAATATAAGATAGAATATAAAATAGAAAAGAGAATAAAATAGAATATAAGATAGAACGGAGTAGACTAGGATATAAAATAGAATATAGAATATAAAATAAAGAGAGTATAAATTAAAATGGAATATAATATAAAATAGAATATAGAATATAAAGTAAAGAGAGTATAAATTAGAAGGGAATAGAATATAAAACAAGAGTATAAAATAGAATATAGAATATAAAATAAATAGAGTATAAATTAAAATGGAATATAATATAAAATAGAATATAGAATATAAAATAAAGAGAATATAAATTAGAATGGAATAGAATATAAAACAAGAGTATAAAACAGAATATAGAATATAAAAAATGGAGTTGAATGGAACCGAGGGGGGGGGGGTTACTGTGCTTGGCAGAGACTTGGAGCTTCAGGGCACATGAAATTTCGGACCTGGCCTTCGGCGCTATCCGAGTCGGGTGGTTTTTCTCGGAGACGTTTCATTGCCCAATTAGATAACAGAATCAGTGCTACAAGGGAGTGGAGGGTCGATATTACCTAGTTGGGTCATGAAATGTCTCCAAGAAAAGCAGCACGCTCAGAGGGCACCCAGACCCCACAATCCTCATCCCTTTTCCTCCACCTCCTCCTCCTCCTCCTCTCACAAAGCCCACTCCCTCCCACACGGATGATGTTACTAGTTACGTAGCCATGAGATGCCTGCAAGAAAACACCCGAACTCAGAGAGCACCAAGGCCGGGCAGTCCTTCCTCCTCCTCTTTAATACTGATGACCTAACCTAGTTGGGTCACAAGATATCTGCAACGAAAACAGCCAAGGTCAGAGAGCACTAAGGACACCCTCAGTCCTCCTCCTCTTTTCCTCTTCCTCCCCCCTCAATCCTCCCTTCCAGCACTGATAACATAACCCAGCTGGGTCATGGGGCGTTTGCAACAAAAACAGCCAAGGTCAGAGAGCACCAAGGACCTCACAGTCCTCCTTCTCTCCCCCCACTTTTCCTTTCTCCCCCTCCTCCCTTCCAGCACTGATGATGTAGCCTAGTTGGGTCACGAGATGTCTGCAAGGAACACCCCAAGCTCCGAACAGTTCAATCCTGAGCTGCAGAGACTCTCTTCCAATGGCTGTTGCTCTGACTAATTTTACTTTAGCAATCATCCGAGGGTGATCGGCCAAAGGATCCCAATTCAGGGAAGAACCTGGCACCCACTTTTTGGATCACATAGTCGTGTTAAATGATCCTGCTTTGGGAAAGAACATGGCGCCTCTCTCCTGGGTCACACAACTCCCGAAAGGCTCCCAACTCTGGGGAAGAACATCACATTGATTTTCTGGATCACACAGCCACCCTAAAGGATTCCACTTGGGCGAAAGAACCTGGCACCCCTCTCCAGGATTGCACAGCTCCCCCCCCCAAGGATCCCAATTTGGGAAAGAACCTGGCACCCATTTTATGGATCACACAGGCCCCCAAAAGATCCCAACTTGGGAAAGAATGTGGCATGGTTTTGGATCAGCCCCATAAAAGATCCCAATTCCGGGAAGAACGTGGCACCTTTTATTGGATCACATAGGCCCCTAAAAGATCTCAATTCCGGGAAGAATGTGGCACTAATTTTCTGGATCACACAGGCCCCCAAAGGATCCCAATATGGGGAAGAATGTGGCATGTTTTTGGATCACACCGCCCGATAAAAGATCCCAATTCCGGGAAGAACGTGGCACCCATTTTCTGGATCGCAAAGCCCCCCCCCTAAAGGATCCCAATTCAGACCCCTCTCCCATATCACACAGCCCCCCCTCTCCTAAAATATCCCACCCGTTTTCTAGATCACCCAGGCCCCAAAAGCAAATCCTGGGACAAACCGCCAGCCAGCCAAGCAAGGAAGGAAACCCAGAGCAGATTGCCTCGTGCTCAATTTGCCTGCACTTCAATTGGTTTGCAATTGTTTTGGGGATCTGGTGG